CAGCAAACAGGAGCTGCTTCTGTTACCAGGCTCTATCACACACTAGCAGAGTCAGAGAGGCTATAGAAAGCAGGCACAGAACTAACTGCATTTCGCTTAAAGCGATCTTGTGTAGACAGTGCTGCCATCCTGAATTCTGCCATGGAAGAAAGCGGTGAAAGAGAACTGCAATGGACTGGCATTCTAACTATCCAAAAAAGCATTTCGTGAGATGGACTGGAACAGGTTGCCCAAAGATGTGGAATCTCTGTCGTTGGTTTTCAAGATGCGGCTACTTAAAGCCATGGCTGACTTGTTCTAGTGCTGGCACTGCTCTGAGTGCTGACCTGAGGCTGTGATAGTCTGCTTCAAGTCCCAAGTATTTCAGATTCTGACAAGCAAATAGGACTTGTAAATGAATAAATGGGATGTTACGAAGCATAATGCTCAGGCATATATTTATTTGTAAGTAAGTCTTTTAAAACAGTATTAAATTCACTTTATATGAGGCTGACGGTTTCATGACTGATACCTGTTATGGTATCCGGAATACAAAAAACACATATTAGATTAAATGTTCGAGAAACAATATGGACAGCCACTGTAATGAAGAAGAACACCAAAATGAGATTTTCAGAAGCAAAGTCCTCATTAGAGTCTTGGGAAAAATAAAGTCCTTCCAAGGCAAAAACAACAGTTACCATTAAGTAGATGGACTATCACAAGTAAAATAGACAATGCAACAGAAGTAGATGAAACTCTTTTTTTGATGCTAATAAAAGGCATTTTAGCCAAGTTGAGTCCTTTTGTCTCCTGGAAAAAGAGACTGAAACCAAATTTTGAGACACACTGAAGTACCTTCTTTATATGTGAATGTCAAAGACCTGAGTGAAGGAGCCCAGGGCAGGGCTGACGTATGCTAGTTGACCTCTTGAGTATCTGACCAGCGTAGGAAGAATAGTACTGATGTAAATGAAGAAGAAATTCAGTCCTTTTTTTTTTTTTTTTTCCTGCACTCCTTTCATTGCTTTCTTTGAAAAATAGACAAGTAATATCCCATGACTTCATGAAGCTTAAACATACGTAGATTCCTGAACCTCCCTGGTATTAGGTGTAGTTTTGCAGTCCTTAATACATCTTCTTAGAATGCCCCTATCAGACAAGGTGTTACAAAGATGTCTATTTCTAAAGGAGAACCTGTGGCACAGGGACCTGGAATACCTCTCCGTGAATGGTAGAGACGGATCCAAACAGTTGCCTCAGTTTGCAGCAGCCCCAGAACGAGCAGCTCCAACCCAGAGACTGCAATAGCAGCACTGGTGTGGCAACATCCTAGAGGACAGCAGGCCGGACACTGCCGTGTGGCATCGGCCTCAGACGTCCTGCGCTTTCAGTTGACACCTGGCTTGAGTTCTAAGCAGAGAGGCTCAATTCTGTCTGTCCACATCCAGGTAGACGTGGCTTGCGTGACATGCCAAAGACCATACATGACCTTAGGGTCTGGCCTGCAAATTAACTCTTTTCACTCTCCTGTCTGCTAGTTTTGGTGGATTTAGCATACATAAGCCATTAGGCCAACAGGATCTAGGTAACTCACCAGTTTAGGCATTTTTATTAAGGCCAAGTAAACACATTTGAAAGTGTGTCCCAGAGATCCCTGCCAAAGGGATTCACTTGTCTGCTTCTTTTGCAGTAATGCAAATATACTGGGAGTCTCAAGTAAGTGTCTGCATTCTAGGTTATTATGATGAGGATCAAACTCATTGAAAGAGTTAAAATAATTACTTCCATGTACTTATTTACTCATATTCACAGTAGGTATAAAATTAGACCCTAGAAACAAAGAATTTCTGCTCATGGCAGCAATTTGCATGTTATTATAAAGGCACTTCTGATGTATTTTAGTAAAGACGGGGGCTGAACACATGTGCTTTATGCTAAGACAGCCATGCATTGTGCACTGTGTAATGAATTCAAGAAGACATAGCTTCTTATTGTTGTCAGTTTTGGGGGACTCATTCTCCTCATGAGATATGTAAATACCTTTCATTAGCATTAAATTGTGTGTTGGCCCATGACGTGAATAGAGCTTTCTTTCTAGCTGTGTGCTGTTACAACAGAAAAAAAAATGACATTACAATTATCCCAAAAATTTGCCTTTATGATTAGCTTTTGATATGATTTACAGAATTATCCTGTATTTTACTTGGGCCTGTTTATTTTCTTGCTATGCACTTCACAGTCAAACTTGTAAAGATACTTTCATACCCATCATAATAAAATACAGAGAAAGGGACTAGATGCCAAACCCTGTTAATCACCAAGGTCTCAATAAGGGCAAAACATGTGAGCCTGTGCTTAACAGATGACGTTCGCTTTACTTTAAGCCACCCTATTAAATTCTCTAGGACTTTGCAAACTGTTCAGCACTTAGCTAATTCTTTTATCTGAATGTGACTGATACAGCTTGGACCAGGTTAAGGAGTTCTCAAGCTCTCTAAAATCTTATAGCAAACATCCCCAGAGATTTTCCCTGGAGCAAACATACTGTAAAAGCCCAGCACTTGCTGGTTCCCTCTATTTGGTGCAGCGACCATGCTTGTCCCTGTCCTCGAGTCCAGTGAGCACAGAGCAGCTGATGCCGGTGGCGCTTGGCCCCCCTGGCCTCCAGAGCAGGGTGACCACGTGCAGGCTGCCTCGTGGCAGCGGCTCACAGCCTCTGCCATCCCCCAAAATTGTCTCAGTGGAGCCAAAACTGTGCCAGGGCCTGTGCGCGAGGAGTCCTGGTACACGCCATTAATTCCCATGCCTGCAAATAAAATGCTCCTTGGTCCAGCTGCTTTCCCTTGGATGGACATAGCCCATGCATCAGGCAAAGGCTATAATTTTCCCATCCTGTCCCCAAGGCTGTGTACATGGTCACTGGTCAGTCCTTAGCATGAGGCATGAGGGCAATAGCATGGCATGCCTTAAGTTTTGCTCTCCAGAACACTGATGATTTGACTATGTGGAGGCCTGAGCAGGATGATATATTTTGTGGGAAGTTTACTGAAGAGGCTGAAGACTGGTTCTGCAAACATTTAAGATGGTCTTTTCCCCATTTGGTACTAAATTCTTCTGTTATTGCAATGACCTGACTTTGATAGTTTGTATCAGCACAAAATCAATGTTTCATGGAAAATCAACCTGCTAATTATAGATATACCCACTCCAATCCAGTCACTCCAATGTTTCTGTGTGCCTCAAGATACATACATATGTATATAGCTATACATATGTCTATATATTATGTAATGTGTGTAAGTTTATAATAGATAAAATATGAGATAGAGTAGTATACCAACTCATCATCTGATCCAACTTTGCATAACCCTGTTCTGATGCCTCTGGACTTACAGCATTTTAAATCACCTAAAGATTTGGCCCTTTATAATCTGATTTTGGAGATCGAAGTTTCAGAAGTTCCTAATCTATATAAATGTATATACATCTATGTATAAAGGTATTTGCCAGCTGTCATTCACCATGAACTGAGATTTTGAATGTGTAGTGTAACAATTTGCCTTTGAAAGCTTTTAAAACATTTATGTCGGGCACTTTGAAGGTGACTCGCCATGGTCTAATTGACATTTACAAAGACTAGGGGATAAAATTTCCAAAGATGCTCAAGTAACTTGCGAAATCTATGCCCCACTGAAGGCCACTGAGTCAGATTTTCCAAACGACTTAAGTGTCTAAAGATGCAGGCAGACACTTACTCACACAGACGCTTACCAAAAAGCATTAGTTAAGATTCTTCTAAATACTTACAGCTGAATTATTTAGATGTTTTTGAATATTTTACCCAGAATAATCAAGTGAAATAGTTAGAATACAAAATCTTAAAAAATCAAAAAACAAACAAACAAAAGAACAACCCTGTCTGGATAACAGCCACAGGGAGTCTGAAATCAAATAGCAAGAATACAGGCAGCGATAAATGTTTCCTATTTAAATATGGAGGTATAGGAAAGCGCCATCTATTAAAAAAAGTAAAAACAACATTTGTTGAACATATTTGAGACAAGTAACTTGCAAGTAATAATGAGCATTAACACTTAAAGCCCATCCAACCTCAACTGGGCAACAATACGATACAAGGGCACGTTATTGTTTGCTTTCCTTGTTAGTTTCAGTTTTAAATTATTTTTCTACATGCGTGAGCTACATCTGATCATCTCAAGTTGCCAAACCTAGACAGCAAGGCAATGTGGTCCCCAAAACTGGTTTGTTCAAGGTAATATTGCTTAAACATAATGGATTAACAGCATGTTCATTGATTACTGGAAAACAAATAGTATGATTTACAACCGTCTAATGAGGCCTAGAAAACTTCTCGCTAAATATAGGAAGATGGGAATAATTGTTCCTTCACTAGAATACTTAGCACAACAAGGTGTGTAGATTGATTCCTGATTTTCTTCATATTTAGCAAATCAGAGAAACGAAAGCTGGGAGAAACAACGACTAGTCTGAGCATGTATCTCATCACCACATTTCTTTTTAAGCTAGATCTGAAGACTAGACCTGTTAAGCATGGCAGCTGAATTTATTTATAAATGTAAGACCTACCCACCACCAATAGCTTGCCCTAAAGAAAAGGATGAGAAAGGAAAGTTCGGTAGCTGATTTTCTGCCAGATGTAACAGGGTGCGTAATGAGGCAATACTCCACTGCCGGTCATTCCTGTACCGATGTGGACTGCCAGGCGCAGAGCCACTTGACTGTTACATCCATCAGTCGTGGCAGCCTGTTGTAAATTCCTAAAACAAAGCTAGATCCTTTCCATAAAGTGGCTACGTCTTATTCCTCTACACCAGACGCCCGTTGCCCAGTAGTTTTGAACGAGCTGTTTGACCACTTTGCAATTTTCAGTGAACAGTGTTGTAATAAGGACCAGAAATACTAAGTTAGTAACACCTAGCAGAGAATTAGTCCTTTCTCCAACTACTGCATTATAAGAGAGAAAATGGCTGACATACCCCATGGCGATGTTCATAGTAAGCCAACTTGGACTGGGTTAAGACAAAGAAGCGCACTTTGAAGTTGGAGGGAGACGTCCTTCTCTTCTGCTGGGATTTTTTGATGAGCTGCTCCTCCAGGAGCACACAGTTATTCATTGCTGAGCCAAGAACGGTTCTCTCCCAGGACACGGGATGCCTGCCCTAGGCACTGAGCACCCGTCCAAGACAGAGAACCAAGAAGGCAGTTAATTTTTTTTTAACAAAAAAGGTGTTCATAAGGCAGCGTAGGTACTTTGGGCTTTATCTTCACATCTACAGCACAGCTTCCTTTCTGTCAAACCATAACCACATCCTCTCTGAAGTCATAAACCGAATAGCACATGCTGAAATATACTCCAAAGTAAATGTTGTGGAAAAAATAACACTTCAGGGAGATTCAACAGATGCGAGTCAATGATCAAGGATTAATGAAGAGGTGTGGCATGATTAAGCGTCTGTCTCCTGCTTGTCCATCTAGTAAATACGTTTATAAATGCATACGTGGAAATTGAATTTACAGGACAAGCATCTTTTCTTTCCTCTTAGAAGCAGGTCACATCCATATTTCTTTTTAAAGAAAAAAAAGATATTTTGAGGAAGCCTCTTACATAACATGCAAGTTCCTAATATGTAAACAAAAGCAAGAAGCAGTTCAAGGCAATAAAACCTACTACCTATAAAAAAATAATTGCAGTATTTCCATTTTATAAGGAAGAATAAATATTTGCAGTTGTTTGTTTAAACTGATAACAAATGGTTATAATAACTGATAACTAATTTGTTATCATTGGTTGCTGTTTACTGAGTGCTGACTTCTTCAGAGACTCTCTAATTAGTCCAGGGTTGAATGTTCCAGGAAACACAGACATGAAATAACTGCGTGGATGCAGACAAGATCCAAGGTTTTGTTTTAAAACCAATGCAACTCATTTTCCTCTGTTACTGCATTTTTAATGTTTTGTATATTATTCTATCAGTGATACATTTTTGGTGCTGTTGGGGACTAGAGACATGGAGTCTGCTGGAGTATGTGAGATGTAAGATAAGAATTATCATTAACTAGGGGTTTCTGAAAATTATTTGGCTTTAAATCATCTACCAGTGCTAACTTTTTACAAAGTCTATTTGGCTACAGATTTTAACACAACATTAGAATTTAAGGAGACAGCTCCCTCTTTCTAATATATTTTAAAGCTGTTTTTAAGTTCCAAAGAAGATGGTTCATTATTTTATATACAGCCCTTGAGGGGAAAAAGACATCTAAATAAATACAAGGTCTGCAAAATCTTTAAATTAAGACTTAGATTTTATAGGATGGTTTTGAGGCACAGACCAGAAAACAGTATTTCTCTCTGGAGTATATGGGTTGTTCCTCTCAAAGAACGAGATAAGATATCCCTTCCTTGTTGTTTTATGTTTTACTGAGCATTTACTTTTGCAGAGTGTTTCAGAGATTCTCCTAAGTTCCTTATGAGCCCTGTTCAATACCATTGAGGCCTTATGTTTTCCTACAAATACAATCTATAGTTAGTGTTTTCAGTGCAGATTTAAAAGAGAATTTGCTAAAGCAATCCAACACTGTAGAACAGGGATACACAGAAATGTTGTGCAGCTGATCCCTGCGTTTATCTGTTTGTGGTGGTCTTGCAGAAGAAATGCAGCATATATTGAAATGGTATGTGCAAGACCAGAGCAGCTATGTTTCATTTCTTGGTAGAGTGATTGAGTTCCAAGGAACCCTTGTGGTTGAAGCAGAAAAATGATGCAAGTCTGTGATGCCCAGAAAATTCATCACCGCTGTCAAGGGGGATTTCATATCTATTTGAAGACTAGGATCATTTCTCGGGCCAAATTACCAAATTCTTTACAAAACATGCATGCCTTAGTGCTCATGTATGGCAGATTCAGCATCTTCTGAATTGTTCTGATATTGTGCTCTTTGTAAATAACAACTATTCAGATTCTTCCAGACCTTGCATAGGTCTACTTTTTTGTGCACATAATTTTTCTCATGCTTGAAAATGTACTGGTTTAACTTATGTTCAGATATTCCCTTCTTGTAACTATGAAACTGTAACACAGGCTGTAGAGCACCCACATATATTCCATGGGACTTCATTGTGCTAACAGTACAAAATCCCCTCAAAAAAGACAATGGATTTCACTTGTAACCTACCTCATAACTTTATTGCTATTGTGTTTTTAGCTATTAACGCTTATGTAGGACTTCATTTAAAACCTTCTCTTCTTTTTTTGCATTGACTCTTATGTGCCAAGGACTTTCTGGAAAGTTTTAGTAGCTTATGCCTAGAAGGTTAACAGAGTCTTAGCAGAGATTTTCATGTTATCATCTCAGAAAACTGAGTATAAAGAAGAAATCAAGAGTGTGACATTGTACTGCTGCAGAAAAAAAAAATAAAAGCAAGGGCAAAACCAACATGCAGGTCTTAGAGGGGAGTGATGTTGTTGGAGACAAGAGGATGTGGGGGGAGAGAAGAGATTCAACAAGGGTGGTGTGTAGAAGGGGCAAGCTAAGTAATTCTTTGAAAGTAGTGAAGGCAGCTTGATTCTTTATATGATAAGAGATAAGGAGTTAGTGGAAAAATATGAAAGGGGAGCGATCTGATCAAATGTTCAATCATGGGGCCTGGCAAATACACTTCTTATGGTGCAAACATTGTATGATGTGATGCAATGCAGGAGGTCTGAGATGAAAACATGGCGAGAATCAAGATAGGATGGAATCAAGGACCAAACAAGTGATTCAGCTCTGGATGTGGAAACACTGGACAGGCTGAGCTGCTGCCAAAGAAATGTCACAGATTTGATACAACACACATATAGATAGAAAGGCAGAAAGTTGAAATAAAATAATCATAAATTTTGACCTTAAGAGATAAAGAAGTTGATAATCATGTCAAAATCAGTAAGATTTAGAAGGTGAGATTACTTATGATGAGTTTTCTATGGTGCATTTATGCTGATGATGTTCCAGCTAAGATATAACTGATAACTCCAGATATGTTGAATTGAGGAGGAAGGTAGGGACTAGCGTATTTTTGTATTAGCTCTTAACACAAAACTATCTATTCATGTTAATTTTCCTTTTTAATCCCAATAAATACGTGTACAAAACATTCAAATATTTGAATACAGCAAGCCAGTGACAGAGGGAGAATACTTCGTAAGTCTAATAATTATAAGGCTATGTTGACATGCATATAAAGAAAAAAATACTCCAGGAATTGTGTGTTCATAAAATTATACATTTATAAGAGAATAACCTACTTATGTGTATTTGAATTGAATTTTATTTCAAAGATCATGGTGCATTCTTAATCTTGTAATATGATTCTTCGTTGCATTCAAGACAGGAATTGCAGGCATAAATCATGTCATAATCCACCAAGGTGACTAAGAAGGTAATCCTTTTAAACAGTGGCTTCAGGAGCCTTCTATAGTAGAGCAGGATAGTTAAAAATAGCCGGTTTAGCTGTAACTAAGTTGGCTCCAGATCTAGGAGCAGTATAGACAAGTATATACATATATATACATCTCGATATATAAACTATACAGCCTTCCTGAAAGCCTTCAGACAGGACATGTTGGGCTAGCTGGGGCACCTCGCTAACAGAGTTATCCCATTTCGGAGGTGTGAGCTTGTATGTCGGCGCAGTCGTGCACTGAATGTCTGAACACACTCATTTTGTTCAGGGATATTTGCACCGTATTGTATTTTGTGGTACAAAAATTCTCTAAACTTCAAAGAAAGGAATTAAATAGAATGGTTCTCAGTGTCTTAATCCCTCTGTAAATCCAGCCATTACAATGTCCAGACAAGCCTGACAGATTTTTAGTGGTCCTACATCTTCTCTGCTTAAGCACGTTTATAAAGCCTGTTAAACATGTATCCTTTGACCCATTTCCATCCAAGACAAGGGTAAATTAAAATGTTTGAAACAGAAGAGTGTAATTTTTCAGGTTTACCTTTGAGCTACTGCATGCACTTAAATGCTCCTGTCTGCTTACCAAGCCGAGGTCACAGATCAAGTTATTCTTATCATCTGTGGCCTTAATTGGCTCCTTTTTTTTTTTCCTTAATCACCCTTGCTCATCCCTTGCTACCTCCTGCAAACTGCTCCATTTCTGCTCTTAAAAGTGTTGTTTTAGGGATTGGATTTTTCTTAGGGGATTTACTAGATTATGCGGTTCACATTTTTATTACAGCAGACTGTGGAAATCTCCCCACCCGCACATCCTGCTCTGATACCAAGGCTTATGTCCTGAAGGCGGCAGAGAAATTTATAAAGTTAAATATAGACAGGTTTTGTTTTTGTTAAAAAAAAAAGACCGGAAGACAGGAAGGCAGCAAGTACTTCTTCACTCTCATAAAACTACCTGTAGACTTCTACCATGCATAGTATTTGGGCCATATTTTCTCCCAGGGTGCCAGCTCTTCTTTTCAGCAGATCATAATTATCATTCAACTTCCAAGCTTGCACTCTTCAATCCATTTTGCTAATTAGTTTTTTTTAAAGAGTCTGAGAAACTCCACTTAGGTTACTCAGATGTCTTGCTTCTCCTGCAGTTTTTTATCGTTGCAATAAATAGGTCTCCAGGGTATCCAAAGAACAAGACAGAAAGTGGTGGGAAAAGCAAACCATCAGCCCAGTCTTTGTGGGGCATCTATCTTCCTTTTAGGTCCTATATCTTTGCATGCAGTCACACAGCTCCTGGTGACCAAGACATAAAACCAGAACCAAGATTGTCCTGTGAACAGTTTTGAAGCCTCGGGGAAGTAGGTGCCTTGTTCTGAGCATCTGCTAGGAAGATATAGTGAATCACCCATGATTTGAAGGCCTGAAGCAAATCATTCCAGGGCTCATCAACCTTCGCAGTAACACAGAGAACATGTTTTATTTATTCTGGTGCACTTGCACAGGAATAGAACAGGTTTTTCAGTGATGTAGGTACAAATAATCCCTTACTCAGCTGTTCTCTCAGGCAACATAGCAAAAATTTAAAAAAAAAAAAACTTTTTTGTGGGGGGAAGGACGGACAGGGGTGACACTGGGAATTGTTTCCAGTTCTTTTTATTAATACTGGCCATCCTGGTTGCTGCCCTTTGCTATTCCCTTTTGAAGACAAAGACCAACCTGCAGTGCTGCAAATCCCCCAGTTTGTTCTGGCAGTATGACTTGTTTGCAGTTACCCTGGTTGCTGATGGCTGCATAAGGAATACTTCTTCATTCCACGCAGACATATTTTTGGAACCATTTTCATTTACAAGTTAGAGTACTTTTACTCTAACCTAGTTACCACAGACTTCTGACCATGTTAAAATCCAACATTAAGGTCTGGTTTAATAACCATGGAGGGGGGTTATGTCCAAAATCATTAATACGAGTACAGGACAGATCATGGATATGATTGTACCTCAGTGTGATCTATGTCAATTTATTAATGGGTAGTGAAATAGCTGCTTCAAGGCTGAATACAGTCCAGATTCTGTGCTGAGATTTGAATCTGTTCAGATGCCATACAGCCAAAAGCAGTTCAACTCTCACATGACCTGGAGAATGGTGTGCCCCCATCCTTACGTGAGAGAAACACTAAACTCTCTCCTCTATTATTCAGCACACTAATGGAGTGCAGTTGATATTTTAGTCTGAGGAGTCAGACAAAAAAGGCAGCACAGCACTGAATTACAAATTCATCAATTCCTAAAGCCACAGCAGGAGACTGGGAGATGGGAATTAACTGCAGCAGATGGCATAAAGATTTCTTTAGTCCCCGTCAGTCCTAACAGACACCCCACTTTTATCTTACCCTCCTCCCTGATATATCCTGCAACAAAACCTATGACAATCACCAAAAAAGGAAATTCCTGAGCCCACTGCTTAACGAGGCTGCAAGACGCAACACCTACCTAAACTGAACAAGAGACTTGAATGGGGTTTCATTTCAGGGTTATTTTCTTGACTATTTTAGAAGAAGAAAAAAAAAAACTTTACTTTTATTTACTGTTCAGGCTGCAGTAGAAATCCAAAGGTAAGAAATATGTTTAAACACACACAAAAACCCCACAGAATTCTAAGCCTGGGCGCAAAGACAGGGTGTGTATGGTCTGTGCTTGCACAGCGTTTGACTTCAGAACGCAGCTAAGATAACTTAGCACACTCCAATGGCACATACTGTGCACATTGTTGCTGAATTAACAAAGAAATGCCTGCTAATGAGACACGTCAATATGCCTAAAATTAGTATAAAGAATAACTAAGTAAACTTAACTAATGAAAAAAACAAAAAGAGGTCTTGTGGCTTTGAGGCAACTTATGTACTTACATCACTGAGTGATTCAGTTCCTGCTGGAGGACTTCCCAGGTTCATCCCTACAGTTTGGAGATGCTACAGTAATTCTGTGTTGTAGGAATAGCTGCAGTATCAGTTATGAGCTTATACTGGACAGCATACAGGATGCTTATTTCAAAAAAACCTGAAACATAGCAGAAGGCAAATTGTAGAGCGCTATGTGAGACACCCACTATCCTTTTTCATTTCTCATGTGGCTCTGTTGCAAAAATAAATGTTAGCAGCTCCCCATACTTTGGATAGGGTCATCCATGTACCTTCTGCAAAACAGCCATTTGCTACTAAAAATGAGACTGAAACATTTTTTCTTCATTCATTAGTTGACGTTTTATCTCCTATGTCTTGGCCATTACATACAGACTGGGAAAATGACTCAGGAAGATCACAGAGATCATGTGAAAAAAACAAGTTTTTGGTTGCCCACTGTCTCCTATTTTTTGAAGTCAAAGTATTTTACAGCTTTGCTGCACATTTCACAGTACCAGGCAGTAGAGCATCAAGTTCAGTTTTTGTTACAAGAATGTGTAATCAGTCTGGAAAGTCCAATAAAACCAAAAGTACCTCAGTATCTCCTGATGGGCTTTCTCATGCTGCAGGCACTGCTTTTTATCCCTTTTCTGTCCTTCAGGGCATGATGCCACAAGATGGTTTGAGACAAACTAATGGGTTGCTGCCACAGCAAGGAGAGTCATTCCTGTCACCATCTCCCCTACCTTTGGCCTTAATTCTGCCCCTGTGCTCTCATCACTTGCTTAAAAAGTAATACTGACATTCACTTGATTGCTCTGTGAGAAGAGTGGAAAACTTAATCCAGAAAAGAAGTGTCGTGTTTTGACTGTGGAGTCTGTGGAGTTTGAATAAATGCCAGAGCCAGCACAAAGTGGTGAGACGAAAGGCTTGCATAGCCAGCACAGGGGAGCTGGAGGAGGACGCAGGAAGAGAGGAGAAGAAAGGAGGAGAATAGCGGGAGAGAGAGGTAGGGGAGTGAGACCTCCCCTTTCACAAGCTGCAAGCTGCTTATTAGCCCAGTTGTAGCTAATACACAAGGGTCCCCGCAGTGTGTGTGAAGCCACCCCCTTGCTCTGCATGTGCAAACTGTGTTCTCAGCTCCATCTTTCTGTGCACTGGTAGATTCTGTACCCCCATCCCAGACTATTTTCCCTTCTTGAAAAGGATTGTTTGTGCGTATTGAAATAGTGTTTGGAAACCTCCACCATGCAGAAAAAGCTACAAGCCATCTAGGATCCCTCTGTGTGATAGCACATTTTCTGTTCCAAGCTGCTTATATTCTAGACAGAAAATATCCCTAGCTAGTGAAAGAAGTGAAGTAGTGTTCTGACTGAATATAGACAAAGATTGAATGAC